TGGAGCCATTTGAGCACAATTTAGGCCAAAAAAGCTCTATCAAAAGGCTATTCCAGCCCACGGTAGGGCCCATTTCAGCCCTGGAACCAAATCAGCCCTAGCTAATTGGACTGTATTGGCCCTGATTTAAGGCAGCCAAATTAGACCCAAAAATAGGACTGTATTTTACTCACCGAAACGGCCCTGTTTTTAGAGCTAAAACAGATCTTTCTGATTTAGAGTGCAGAGGCCGTGTAACGTGATGGACGAACCCTGTTGACAATCCAGGATAAGTTCTACTGCGCGGCCATCATAGACAATAAAGACTACAAGTTTTCGCCAAGAGGCAGCTACTTTGCTCCTAAAGAAGGCGACTACGCATCTACATCGAGTACGGACGCAGCCTTCCGCTCATTGCGCATCCTGGGGTATTTGGAATGCCCGCCAAATGCAGACATTAGTAATAACCAACAGGAAACCCAACAGTTGTTCAACAGCATCCTTTTGACGCAGTCTCGAGCTTCCGCCAAAGGTGGAAAATCCGCCGATGAGATACTCTTTGGGGTGGCTGAGGATATTTTACACAAGAACTTTGACACGGAAGCGGCACTGCGGAAATACCCCACCACCTATACGCAGAGTATGAACACGGTATTAGTGCAGAAAATGGTCAGGTTTAACAGGCTAACGAGAAGTCGTGCGATCTTCGCTTATGAACATACTGAAAGCTGTTAAGGTGAGTGAACCTTCAGATAAATTGAATAGCTATTTTTATAGAGTTCTTGTTTGAAGTTTTGACTAAACATGAAGTAGAATCTTTATTCCTTTACAGTCTCTAAGGCAGACCCTGGCCATTGCCACGGGAAGTGTCCTCGCGCCTTATAGAAAGTCAAAGAAAATGACTGAAAATGACTTACTCTAGGTGTCCAATGCATAGAGGGTCAAATAAGACAGAGACTAACTCTTGATGTCTGTTTCAAAAGAGTTGACTGTATTACTGGACCCTCTCGAACTTGTCGCTGACTGGAAGCAGTAAATACAGTTTCCCCTAAGGTGGAAATAGTTCGTCAGGCAACCGTTATTTCAAATCATGTTGCGTTCATCTGTGTGCGATATTGGGTGATATGTTGCACATTACACTTGTGTCAAGGAAATCTACCCGAGACATGTTACCGTTTCCTCTTGCCCCTCCTTGCCGGGTCTATTATATTTTGCTCCTTTTTCTACAGGGTAGGCGCACTTACAGGAAGTAGTTTTCGCTGCGTGTTTAGGAATGGGACTCACTAAGACGGTTTACCCGACCTTTTATATGATCCCAGGGCCTGGTCGGTATGCCCTCTGAACTAGAGGAGGTGGCGGGCGGCATCCTTAAAGGCAAAATCCCTGGTCTGTACATGGAGAAGTCCTACCCATCTCTTAAAGCACTCGGCAGTTACGTCAATGATCTGATTGCTCGCCTCAAGTTTCTTCAAGAGTGGTATGACAATGGAGTGTCTCCCATGTTCTGGGTATCTGGGTTTTTCTTCACTCACGCCTTCTTAACGGGATCAAAGCAAAACTACGCCAGAAAATGCACCATTCCTATTGATCTCCTAACGTTTGTCTTCGAGGTTCTTGGCGACAATAACTACGAAACTCCACCCGAGGACGGTGTCTATGTTAATGGCTTGTTCATGGAAAGCTGTCGATGGGATCGAGAAGAGAGAATGATTAGAGAGTCGAACCCGAAAGCTTTGTATGATAGCATGCCTGTTTTTTGGCTCAAACTTTGCAAGAAGGAAGAGATTGTTGACCGGCCGCGTTATGTCGCCCCTGTTTACAAAACAAGCGAGAGGTGAGGTACGCTCTCAACCACAGGCCAGTCCACTAACTTTGTGATGGACATGCGCGCGCCATCTCATCAGCCACAGTCCCATTGGATCATGCGTGGTGTGGCTCTTCTTTGCCAGTTGGATGATTAAGGAAGTGTTACATGCAGTATTAACGTGCACTCAAGAAGTGTGATGTGCAGAGTTGACGCACAACTTGTATATAGTCCTCATTCAGTTTAATGAAGTAAGGTTTATATCCTGAATTTAGAACCGACTGATATTGCCTGCTTTATTCAAGCTGGAGTAGTAACAAGTATGGTCTGTACGCTGTAAATACGCTCTTACATACTTAGTATTGACAAGTAGTAAATATAGCGGTTGTAGTAAGGAATGGATTTAACAATACTCTGGGGCGTGTTTTGACCAAGTTGTTAACTTTCCGCTCTCCTTTTAACGCAAGATTTTTTTCAACTTTTTGGTCTGAAGGGATATTCATCGCACGACATCTGCAAAAACACTTTCACTACTATACTACAATGATTATTACGTTCGTTATCATATTCACAATCCTCGCGGCATTCAGAGTCATTGTCAAAGAGGTTCTCAGTCAAAGGTTTTTTCCCTCAAATTTAGAAGAGACACGAAGGTTATTTTACAGACGCCAGTTTGTTTGTTCATCCTTTACACGGCGATGGCCGGAACCAACGAGATATACGTAACAATCATAGACGACCTTCCTGTTTTCCTGACGCCAGTTTAAACCGAGAGGCCTGGGTGTCCGGGGTACGAGGCTGGATGAAATGTTCAAAGAGAAATAGAAAATAGTCTGTCTCTTGAACTTATCGTTGATTGTAACCTCCCTAGGGTAGTGATCTTACTCTACCCGTCAATGCCCAGCAGGTTTAAGATCGTGGATCGTTTCCAGCGCATGCCCAAACCACATTTTGCCCTCGCAAAGGTATGCAACTTTCTGATCAACCTCGTTGCCAGGGTTCTCTCCTACCCGTCCCTGGTAACGAGGTTGTCGTCAGTCCATTTACGGGTTGCGTCAAGTCAGTGAAATAAGCTATCTATATAATCATTAAAAAAATCATTTTTATAATGAGTACTGTTTCTGCACTTGGCCTCGTTTTGAAAGTGAGGGTTGGTTTTTGAAAGTTGTTAAAGGCCTGTTGACAGCCTGAGTATCAGGCGTGTTTGGAGGAAAAGGGGAAAAGAAAAGCGAAAATCTCCTGTCTCGTAGCCCCTTAGAAAAGCCTGATACTCAGACTAGCCTATTGAAGGACCAGTGTATAAGTGTCCGCATATTTCGCAACTATTATTTTGAATAATGGAACGGTAGTTTAACCCGACCAGGACCCCCGCAGGGGTAGGGGCTGGGGGTCCAGGGCCCCCCACTTTT